TAAGCCATCACTTTTGTATTTGTTTTCAAAATGATATGTTAGTTTTCACTTGAAATCCAACTCAACTAAGGATGGTAATTTCCTCCAAACCCACAAAGTTTTGTGAAGATCCTCGCTACGTGGATAGAGATGCTCATAAGGCAAGGATGGAGGCATTCATTGAAGAAAACTGAAGAAAAGACAGTTTTTGTGAATACTGAATTGTATTCATTATGTTATTTCTGTACAAGACATTAGCATGTGTATATATCTCTATACAAGGGTAAAGTGTAAATTCAAATCCTTAATATATGCCTAAATTCATGTACAAGAGCGTTGCCTTTGAATGTTACTCAATCTTGTGCCTTATAATCAATATTTTCCATTTTTTTGATATTCTTGATTGTTGCTCTATCTTTTTATTCTATGATCAATAGTTTCCTTCGTTTGATATCTTGTTTCCTAACTTGGTTCATGGCTTGACAGTAACATTGCCTTTGATGTATCTTTCATACTCCCCCTCAAACTAGTGTTGGGTGATTCAACCAATCCCAATTTGAACTTCAATAGTTGAAATTGGGTGTGCAGAAGAGGTTTTGTGAGAATATTAGCAACTTGGTCATTGCTAGGAATGTATCTAGTAACCAGTGCACCAATCGCCACCTTTTCCTGAACAAAATAGTAGTTTAGCTTGATGTGCTTTGTCCTAGCATGAAAAACAAGATTAACAGACATGTGTAAGGCATTGATATTATTAGAAAAGATTTGAGGTAGATGAGATAAAGAGATTCTGATGTCTAGTAATAGGTATGTAATCCAAACAATCTTAGTTGTAGCTAAAGCTAAGGCTCAATACATTACTTCAATTGTAGATCGAGCTATAGTAGGCTATTTCTTGGAAGACTAGGAAATACAATTTGCTCTAAGGAAGATACAATACCTAGTGGTGCTTCTCCTAGTAATTGTACATCCTATGTAATCTACATCACCAAAACCAGTTAATGTACTATGAGTGTAGAATCGCAATCCATGGTGCATAATTCCTTTGACATATCTAAGGATACGTTTTACTTGATGGAGATTACCAAGAATGGGTTGCTGCATAACTTAGCAAACTTTGTTAACAGCCTGACAAATATCCAGTCTAGTAATTGTTAAATACTAGAGTGAACCAACAATTTTCCTATATTCTTAGGCATCAACTAGATCATTGTCCCTTGAGGTAGGTGTTCTTTTAATGCCATTGGAGTGGCAATACTTGATGCTTCAATTATAGAGGCTCGCATGAGGATATCTCAAGCATATTTTGTTTGAGAAAGAAATATGCCCCCTAAGAACTTAGTAACCACAATACCCAAGAAATAACTAAGTGAACCAAGGTCCTTGAAAGCAAATTGAGTGCTTAACCCACTTATAACATCTTGTAACAAGATCAAGGAACTTGAGGTGAGCACAATGTCATCAACATATAGTAAAAGAAGAATAATATCCTAGCTAGGATGAAGGATAAATAGAGAAAAGTTAGTCCTACTACAGTGAAATCCCATTTTGGAAGAGTTGAAGTGTGAATGGATCGAACCATGCTCTTGGGGCCTATTTTAGACCATAGATAGACTTGTTAAGCTTACACATATAATCAGGATGTAAAGTGTCCTCAAATCCTAGTGGTTGGGTCATGTACACTTCTTCTTTGAGTTTGCCATAGAGAAAGGCATTTTTCACATGTAATTGTCGAAGTGGCCAGGACATAGTGGTAACAATAGCAATTACGAGTCGGAGTGTTGTTGGTTTAAGGATTAGATTAAATGTCTCATCAAAGTCCACGATTGGTATTTAAAAGTATCTTTTTGCAACTAATCAAGCCTTAAATTTGCCCACACTTCTATTAGGATTTGGCTTTACTTTGAACACCCACTTGGAAGCTACAATGTTTGTCTGTGTTGAAGGTGCAGGTATTAGAGGTGTTGCTTTTGTGAAGCGCATCTAATTCATCCATCATAACATCAACCCAATGTGGGATTTGAGGTGCTCTCTTGACTGTTTTAGGTTCTTGGATATCCAATCCTACATGTCCTATATGCTTCCCTGCTGTTGTTCTAGTTGTCATAAGATGAACTGATGTGGAGATATTTTGGACATTTCCAATATGCTTCCCTAATTTTGATATAGTTGTCATAAGGTGAATTGATGCTAATGTGGCATTAAGAACTGGTGGTTGAACCCTTTCACAGGTAAAACTAGAACTCTCTAATCCTTGTGCAGATTGAGAGTGATCAACTTCAAGTTGTACTGGTGAATTAGAAACCTCATTTTCATAGGTGTTAATTCTAGTATGAGCTGATTCAAAGTTCTTCTTGATCACTTTTGTCTTCTAACATGTTTTGTATGGAATTAGTGTCTGGACTCCTTGAACCTTGAGGTATAATCGATTCAAGCACCTTTATTGCCTTGGAAATTATATTATTTCCTTCGTCTATACATGAATCTCTGATCCTAGTGCATCGAGTAGTCACCGGTATAGGTTGCACTTTTTCTATCTTCTTAGTAGGTTGTAGGTGTGATGATTTTTGCTCCCATTCATCAAAATCAGGATACTGACAAAGATCACCATTTGCACTAATATCACTTGTACTCTTTGTGAGATTAGTATATGGAAGAAAATATTCATTGAAAACTACATGTCTAGATACGTATATATGTTGAGTGGTACGATGCAAACACTTGTATCCTTTGTGGATTGGACTGTATCCTATAAACACATAAGGTAAAGACTTGGGTTGAAGTTTGTTTGTAGCATAGTCTCTAAGGTATGGAAAACAATGACATCCAAAGACTTTTAACATAGAATAATCAAGAACCTTACCATAAAGAAGAAAATAAGGACTTTTATTATTCAAAATGAGTATAGGCATTCTATTAATAAGAAAAACTATAGTAGAAAAGCTGTTAATCTAGTAACGAGGTGGCATATTAGCATGGAGTAACATAGTCAAACCTATCTCAACTATGTGCCTATGTTTTCTTTCTGCTATTCCATTCTGTTCAGGAGTGTCAGGACAAGATACTTGCAATTTAATGCCACACTCAACTAAGTAAGTGAGAAAATTCTTACTGAAGAATTCTCCACCACCACCACACTGGAATACCTGTATGTTCTTGTTAAATTATGTTGCTATCATTCTTTGAAACTTTTGAAACACATTAAAAAAAGTCAAATTTCTTGTGTAGTGGATAGAACCAAGTATATCTACTATAGTCATATACAAAGATTGCATAGTAAATAAATTGGTTAGTGGATAGAATTGGAGAGGCGCCTCATAAATCACGATATACCTTTTAAAACAAGGAATCGATTCTTTCATTATTTCTATTAAAGGGTAGTTTACAACTTTTCCCCATTTTGACAGCCTAAACATAAATGAGGAGGTTTTGTCAAGTTTGAGACTACAATGTTATTCTTAGAAACTAGAGTCTTTAAAACATTAAAGTTGGGATGTCCTAGTCTTTGGTGCCAAATAGAGTCTGAAGCCTTATTTGAAATAACTGTTAATGCATGTTTTTCCCTTTCTTCTAGTGCATACAGTTGCCCCTTCCTAGTTCCTTTTGCCACCATTACTTGAGTTATTTGATTCTTAATCACAAAACCATCGGATGAGAATTCAAAAATAAAAGGATTTTCAGTAGTAACTTTACTTACAAAAATAAGATTCTTCTTAAGATTAAGAACAACAAGCACATCAGTAAGCTTTAATTTTCCAATAGAGGTAGTATTAATATATGAGCTATGTAAAGGTGTGTCACCACCTATAAGAACTTTTTGACTTCCATTATAAGGCCTTTTAAAATAAAGATTACCTTAATTAAAAGTCATGTTATCGGAGGCACTAGTATCCACATAATAGTTTTTATCTTTGTTATCCACAGTGAGTGTTGCAAGTGCTTGTGGCAACTCTTTACTTTGATATGCATGATCAAATCGATACTAGCATTTTAATGCTACATGCCCTGCAATACCACATATTTGGCATGAGTTCTCACCTTTTTGTGTCATAACTTTCTACTAAAACTTTGACGCAAAACTTGTTGTAGTGTTGGGTTATTAGTCACAAAGTTGCTTCTATTGTTGTTGGTCCAATTGTTATTGTAATTTCCAGCTTGGACAAATCCTTGTCCTCTAAAGTTAAAATGCTTGCCTCCATATCCTTTGCCTCGATGACCTCTCCCCTTTTGTGCCACAAAGACTTGAGAATATGTCATCGTTTTGTCTTTGATTTCCACCTCTGCAACTTTAATATCTCATTAGTTAGTAGCTTTGTAGTGTATTGATTAAAGGTGGGATAAGGTTCTTTTGACAAAACTGTTAGATTGTAAGGCTAATGCCTTATCCCTACAACTCTAGATAATTGTAACACTTTATCCAGGTCATCAAAAGACTTGCATATTGCAGCTAGCTTGTCACAAACTCCTTTGAACTTCCTGATAAAGTCTTCAAGAGACTCACTATCTCCCTTTTTGATTGCTAATTGTCCTTTTAAATACAACTCCTACTCTTTGGATGAAGCAAGATAATGCTCCTCAAGTCATTTCCAAATTTGGAAAGTTGTTTCACAACTAACCACTAAGCTAAGTGCTTTCTCATTCCTGGTCTTGAGCAACCAACTTGTTAACAACCCATCATTATTCAGCCATATATCATAATCTAGATTTGATTCTTCTTTTCCATCCTTAGTAATGGTAATGACTGGAGCCTTCTCTTTAAGATGTTACAGAAGTTGGGTGCTCCTGATTAGTGGGAAGATTTGAGATTTCCAAAGTAGGAAATTGGTACTTAATAACTTGACTGAGACTAAGTTGGCCATTTGGTGGAAGCTTTGAATGGTTAGCTTGTTCTTGTTTTTAGCCATGAAGAAGGTATAATAAGTTCTAGTTTAGACTGTGTTGTAGAAGGAACAAGGTACTATTAAGAAAGAAACAAAGTATGTAGATGCAAATTGTGACTTACTCTGATACCATGAAAAAAACTAAAGAAAAGACAGTTTTTGAGAATACTGAATTGTGTTCACTATGTTATTTTTGTACAAGACATTAGCATATATATATCTCTATACAAGGGTAAAGTGTAAATTCAAATCCTTAATATATGCCTAAATTTATGTATAGGAGCATTGCCTTTCAATGTTACTCAATCTTGTGCCTTATAATCAATAGTTTCCATTTTTCTAATATTCTTGACTATTGCTCAGTCACTTTATTCTGTGATCAATAGTTTCCTTCTTCTAATATCTTGTTTCTTGACTTGGTTCATGACTTGACAATAGTGTTGCCTTTGATGTATCTTTCACATTCTTTTTCCTACGAAATTTCGTAGAGAATTTTCTCCACCTCGTGGGGACTCATGAGAATCTAGATATAATAAAAAAAATATAAATTTACTTTTATATATTTTTATAAATATATTGCCAATTAATTTTTACTCACCCAACCCAACCTAAATTGCCTTGCTTCATTCCTTTTTTAGTCATCCCCAAACCCAATTCAACAAACTTAATTCAATAAATCAATTACCATCAGTATAGCACTATGTATTTGTTGGAGCTGGACATTATTGGACTGTATATATAATGTATTTGTTTGTTTGAGTTGTTTCAAATTTGTACTTTTTTATTTATAGAAAAATATAAGGTTAAATTCTACATAATTAATATTTGACGAGGAATTCGTATACTAGTGGGTACCTACCATTCCCCACAGGTATGGGGATAGAGGGCATTTTTTACCTTCCACCAAAAATCTCCATGTGAATCTTTGCACTCATCATTGGCGAGGATGGAGATGAGAAGGGACCCCACCCCTACTAGGACTCATTGCCATCTCTAAGCTTAGCATTGGGGTCCACAAAGACACAATCTCCATTAGCTTTAGACAGATTGTTTAGGTTATCCGCTAAGTTAAAAGGGTTTATCTAAAGATTTAGATTAAGCATGCATTAATTATATTTTTTTATAATTAATTTTTATAAAAAAAAATCTCAAAAGTTGATTTTATTTTTATTACTAATGTTATATGCATATTTTTAATTTGAATTATTGATAAAATTAAAATTATTTTTAATATTTTATTTAAATTAATTGTGAAAAAGTATAATAAATAAGCCTTTAGCATATTAGGCCTACAATTGAGGAGGTTAAATGTGAGTTTACAGCTATTATTACTTCAAGGGCTTATCCAACACTGATTAAAAAGTACAGGAGCTTATTTGTCCTTTTTGCTTTATAAAAATTGGTCCCAAAATAAATTTTCATTTCTGTCTTGTCTTTAAGCAACAAGCTCTTGTACTATTAACATTATTAGGACTTACGAACTTCATTGATATATATACTCATATTTTTTTACGAATCTGAGTATTTGACCAAGACATGTAAATTCAATTTTATTGGGAAAAGGAAAAGAATTACACCGCATGCAAAAGGAAAAGGTAGGATAAGAATTTATTGTTTTATAGTCTAATGTAGAAATTAAGTGATAGGATAAAAAAAACCCTCTACTAATATTGAAAGGTTATTTTCACATTTAATAATTTAAATTATATAATTTGTATTTGATACAATAAATTAAAAGGACTAGATTGCGTTTTTGTTTTTTTGAGTTGTGTGTGTGTGTGTGTGTGTTTTTTTTTAGGTTCTTTTTCATCACGTAAGTTAAATTAGGACATAACAAATGCATGCAAGAAGCTGTTCCCACAAATTTATTGCTTCAACTTCGGTCTTTCCTTCCCTGAAGAAATCTACGCTTCCTCATCTTTTCCATCCAATCATGCATTTATGTGAATGTTGTGCTTAGCTGCAAAATATGAAAAATAATAGGTAAAATTAGCCATTTATAAAGCATTAGTTTGATTGCCATTAGTGTTTCAACTAATACGAGCTTGAAATTTAAATTAGCAGTCTCAATTATCCTACAATTAATCATGGAATTGTTAAAAAACCAATCGAGAGACTTTAAAGTGGAAAATTAACTTACCAGCAGCCTCCTTGTACTCACAATCAGAGTCGCACTTCATCTCACAGGAGGTATTGCCGCTGCCTATGGAGTTAGATTCTCTGTGGCAGGTATTGAAGCAAGACTTGAAGTGGTCATCATCGAGCACTGCAGCCGCAGGCACGTACATCGCCACGGCAACCATGATACGCAAGAGGAATACTACTATGAACTTATTGGCCATTATGTTTTTACTTCTCTTTGCACTTTGGTGATGTTTAATTGCTCTTATTTTGGCGGATAAAAGGAAACCAGTGGTTGGAGACATTTATAGGCGAAGAGCTGTCTATTTTAAGGTGGTTTCAAAATGTGAATGGTTATGGCTACCCAACAAATTGTTAGGTCATTCAAATTTTTAAATTTTTTTTAAAATATTGATTCTATTTAATTTGATAAGTAAAAATAATTGATAATTATAATTGTAGGTTGATAAATAATAAAATAATTAATATTTATTATTTAATAGATTAAAATTAATTTACATATTAATATTTTTAAATATTATAATTGACTATTGACTATTTTTTTTTTAAAGGAAAAAGTTTAGGTGGTCTCAATAATTTAGTGGGTAGTCATAACCATTCTCTTTGAACATGGATATCGGAAGTTCACTAGGCAAAATTTTTCACATTCTTGTTCTTAACAAAATGAAGGAAACGATGTTTTCGTGCCCTTGTAATTGAAACAAAAAGCTTGTATTTGTTAAGATATAAACACAATAATTTAGATTATATTCACACTTATTGTAAATATTTTATATTTTAAAATATTCTCTTTGTATACTTTATACTTTAGAATATTTTTTTTAAACACCTATATATAGGTCATTGTACATACAATTATGTTCAAGAAAGCAAAAAACCTTTATTCAAATATTTCTTCTTTTTCTAACATTATATCAGAGTTATAACTTTTAGTTCTACTCTTTTATCATCACTAATTAGTTTTTGAGTTGGATTTTCAAATCCATTTTAGATGTGAAACTTTGTTGTTTGGTTTTCTTCTCCTATAAATTGGATTATTTATTCTCAATTCTCAAGTCCTTTTTGAGATATTTTGTTGAGTTGTTATTTCAATTTTGGTGTATATTTCTTTCTATTTTAGAGATTTTTCAGTATTGTGGGTTTTACTAATACTATGGTGAGTTTTGAAAGAACTGTAACTCATCCTACTACTGCTATGGTTTCCAAAAAAGTGATAGACCAACCTAATATCAACCTTGAATCCTTAAAATAGGTGATATTAAATCCTTTTAATGCTCTTACTACCTTATATGTTGCTCTAGGTACCAAACCTAGGTATTTTGATTCTAATTGTTGTAACCATATGTGTTCAACTATTGCTCATTTTTCTTCAATGTTACCAAATAATTCCTTTCCTAATATTTATTCTACTGATGGTTCCTCTATGAATGGTAGTCACATTGGGAATATTTTTATAAATTCTTTGATTTTACCAAATGCTCTCTTAGTTTCAAAGCTTAGTTATAATCTTTTATCTGTTAGTAAATTATGTGATCTTAGTCTTGAAATAATGTTTTCTACTCATGGTTGCCATGTGTAGGACCCACAGACAGGATAATGTCTTGGAACTAGTCACAAGGCGGGGCGTATGTTTGAGCCCAACTATATACATATTCCTAATCATAAAATAGATACACCATCATTTCCAAATGATCAATTCATTGAAACCTTTTTTTGTGCTGTTGAATTAGAGTCTTTATAAATTCTATATCAACAAATCTTTGAAGCCTGTGCTGCTATTAACATTTTTCCTCTTCATTTGTGGCACTTACAACTTGGACACACCTTAGTCGATAAACTTCATCCTTTTGTCTCTTGTGGTTTATTAAGATTTATTCCAAATGAATCCTTACATTGTGTGTTATATTAATATGCAAAACAACCAACCTTATATCTTTCTAACAATCATTCTCTTTCTGCTATTTCTTTTGATCTCGTGCATTTTGATATTTGGGATCCATCTTTGACACCTACCATAGAGGGTTCCAGGTACTTTTTGTTATTTATTAATGATTATACTCATTTCACCTAGATATATCTTATAAAAAATTGATAAGCTGAATTTTTATAGATGTTAATGTGGAATTTTTACCTTGATATTATTGATATTTGGATGAGTTTTATAAGATTTTACTTGATTTTATATAATTTTCATTTTTATGTAAGAAAGGACTTACTTGAAAAAAATCATAATTTTTAGGAGCAAATTGAAAAGATAAAAAATTTGAGGGTTAAGTTGTGCAGAATCCAGAAGTTAGGGACCAAAACTGTAATTTTACCATTAATAGAAATTGTTGGAAGGCCAAAAACCCGACCCGTTGAATGCAATGCGCGCTTAAGAGAAGGTATCGGTACCTAGTTGAAGTTGTTGACGCCAAATGCCATTTTAAAAAATCCATGACTAATTTATTGTTTTGGGTGTGGATGTCATCACTTCTATTTTAATTAGAGTTTCTAAAATCTTATAAATACTTATTCAAGTTCAGAATATAGAAGAAGAGCTTTTGAAGTTGGTGGCAATTCTCTTTTAGGCACTCTTGAATATCAAGATAAAGGATATATTAAGCATAAAAGATAATGATTTCAATTTCTTCATTTTGGATTTTGTTTTTTCTTAAATTCTTTTTATTTATCGTTTGATATTCAAATATTTACAACTATAATTTCAAGTTTTATTATTTTTATTATGAACAAATTTATTTTATTAAGGTTACAATGTAGCCTAATTAATTTAATATAGATTTTGTGATTTTTATACTTTCAATTAAAGTTATTCGTCTGATAAGTTTATATTATTGAATTTAATGGATTGAAAACCTTGTTACCTTTTGATTGATTTAGTGATTTATGCATGAATTTGATAAAAAATTGTGTAAATTATACTAATATTAATATAAACCATGTGTTAGATTATGAGATCGAGAGGTAATTAACGTCACATATGTTAACGTCACATATGGTAATGGAGGAAGAAAAGAGAGTTAGAAGCTCCCATTTCTTAAGTTAGAGGTTTCCATATAATTTAATACTCATTGGCTTGTTTAAAATTATATGATTAATTCAACAAATAAGTGAAAAATTAACTTGGCTTGAGAAAACTAGTTAGTTAATTTAGGGAAATATGCCATCACATGCAATAACACTTAACAAATTGGCTTTGGAAGTATATTAATTTAGAATTTATATTGATTGATTATGGTGAAATCGATGCCTAAATACCTCGTATCTTGATTAGTTTTATTTTAATTGTTATTTTCTTTTTATTATTTTTAATTAAAATTTCTTCCTTTTCGATTGTTCAAATAAATTTAGATTAATTTTTTTGTACTTAATTAATCACAATCCTCATGGGTTCAACACTCTATTTATCATTATATTACTTGGAGCAACTTGTACACTTCCTAGAGTGATTTTAGCGCATCAAAAATCGCTAGGAGTTACCACAACTTTATATTGATGTTGCTACCATTGCCAAAACTTAGTTTTTTAAAATTATTAAAGTTTTGAGAACTGACATTGCCACTAAATATCTTAATACTAAACTAATCATTTTTCAAAAAACAGGGTACATTGATACAACAGTCTTATTCTTACACTTCTGAATAGAATGGGCAAACCAAACACAAACACAAACACATTCTTGTTTTTGTTCGTGCTCTGCTCATTTCGTCTTATTGTCTAGAGCGATTTTAGGGTGAAACTGCTTTTACAACTATTGATCTCATTAATCGAATTCCATCATCAGTCATCAATAATAAGTCTCCATATGAATGTTTGCATGGTATTCCTTCTACCTATGATCTTCTTAAGGTTTTTGGTTGTGCTTGTTTTGTTCTTCTTCCACCTTATGAATAACAAGCTAAAGCCTAAAGCTTGATTTTGTTGTTTTTTGGGTTATGAGATTGCACATAAACGATATCATTGTTGGGATCATGTGTCACAAAAACTTCAAGTCTCATGTCATGTTGTCTTTTGGGAACACACTATGTTTTCCTCGTTATCAAACTTTTGGGTTTCATCTT